AGAGGGAAACATGGTGAAAAAATGCAGCAGTGGAGCTCACTGGATTTTGATGAAATGGAACTATGCAACAGATGACACTGTAGGAAAGGAAATGGACTCATCTGACTCATGTGATTGTAATCCCTCTCTACATCACCTCTATCATAACAATGAAGTAAATTTATTTTTAAAATTTTTAATCTAGATATTTTATTGTAAAGACACTATAGAGAGTGGTTACAGTTACATGAGCAAGGTAATGAGTCCATTTCCCATTGAGCCAGATATCTAGCAGTTTTTCAGTTGTCATTGTTCTTTCTACAATAACATGAATGTTGAGCAAGATTACAGGTATAGGTGTGAATAAATCATGTCTTTTTTTTTTGTAGGTCATGGGGCTTGAACTCTGGACCTGAATGCTGTCCCTCAGCTCTTTAGCTCAAGGCTACCGCTCTACCACTTGAGCCATTGTGCCATTTCTGGTTTTCTGAGTGGTTATTGAAGATAAAAGTCTCACAGACTTTCCTGTCTGGGATGGCTTTGAACTGTGATACTCAGACTTCAGTTTTCTGAGTAGCTAGGATTATAGGCATGAGCCACTTGTGCCTGGCCTCATCCATGTCTTTCTTATGTTCTTTTTAATACTTGTGTTTGAAATTTCCCAATTCAAAAAAATATAGAAAAAAAACAGTAAAAAAGTTACTTCTATTTTCCTAGCCTGGATATGGTGTATCGAATTTATAGACAAGCATTCTTATTACTACTAAATTTATATACATATGCATGTATATGTATATACTACAAAAGTAAGTTAGGATGTGCATATTCAAATGAGTTTTCAGTTTTACTCACTTTGGATCTAAGTTGCTCAGCAGCATAGTTTTTCATGTGGAAGGGACACAGTTTTGAAAGAAACTTTGACAGTGAATAGACGTTTTGCTCGTGTTTGCTATTGTACCAAGGAAATGAGGGTGTATAAAAATATGATAATATAGTCATGCTTTGCATTCATTATTACTGTGAAGACAGAAACATTAGCTACTTAGTAATGGTAATTTTTTCAATCTTTCTTTTGCCACATGATTAGTAAAATATCTTGCACCTTACCATAGGTTGTTATAAGAAATATACTCATATAATTTTGCATTACTTAAAACTTACACTGAATTGATTATATATCTCTATTGTTAGGATTGGATTTATGAAGAAAGGAATAATCCCTCTAGAACCCTCATTATTATATTTCCTAAGGGAAAAATGTGTAACATATATAGACTAAATTCTAATAAGTGTTCTACATACAAGTGATGTTTGCTGTTACTGGACTGAAGTAAGATGTGGTGTGGGTCATCTTGCTTTCTGCTTCAATTGTTTTGTTTGTAACTTAACCTTTTTGAAGAAAACTGAAACGCAGTATTTTTCAATAATGGTATTTTAAGAAAACACAATTTAATTATGTTAAGGTTTCAGATCTGCTTATGGTATATTTGTGTGTACTTAGCTAATGACATTTTTCTCTGTATTGAAACTTAAGTTAATTATTTTCTGAGCAGCAAATCTTCCTGTACAGTTCATTTGTTACTGACCATATGCAAGATAATATTTGGGAAAACAATGTTTCATTAGCAGTGGGAGGTTTTAGCCACACATCCCTTATGATGGTTGCATGGTTTAATGCTCATAATTTCATGTTTATACCAGTGACCACATAAAGCAGGGAAAGCATGAGTATCATAAGAGCATTTTTAAATCTCTGTGTCTCTTAGACCTGAAACAGGGTCTGGTTATGTAGTCTACACATGAACTTATGATCCTAAAGCCTTAAGCTTTTGAGTGATGATATTTTAGATGTGTGCTATTCAGTGTTCTAACACCCTCAGGTAATACTCTTTAATATTTTTAATTTTTAAATTTGTTTTGCTGATCTTGAGGCTAAACTTCAACCTATGTGCTGTTCCTGAGCTTTTTTCCTCAAGGTTGTGCTCTACCATGTGAACAACAGTTCCGCTTCTACCTAATTAGTGATTAATAGGAAATAAGAGTTTCAAGTCAAGCTGGCTTTGAACCATGATCCTCTGATTTCAGCCACCTGAGTAGCTATGATTACAGGCATGAGCCACCATTGTCTGGCTTCCCCCAGTACGGACAGTAATTCTTTTGAAAGCTTGATAGTTAAAAAAGGATGCAGAGAATAATTTCATGCCATTTATGCAAATTTTGTGTGATTTGCATTATTTATTCTATATATTTAAATTAATGAAAACATTCAGAATTTGCACTAAGAAAAATAAGAACAAGGGAGACCATAGAATATATATTTTCCTTGTATTTTGTTATCTAGTTTTACCTGTGATTTTTTTCTCAAGATGTGTTATAAAAATAATTTGTTTAGAAAGTAACAGAAAAAAAGCCAAAATCTTACTAACTTTCAGAATTTAAACTATTTTACTGAACAGCTCACTCAGCATTACAACTATATGGTGTATTAAGATAAATTCTAATGTCTATATTTAAGAGTGTGTATTTCAATCTTGTAATCTTAGCTATTCAGTAGGTTGAGATCAAGAAGGTCATAGTACAAGGCCCTGCTGGACAAAAATGTCCGTAAGACTCAATTTCTAAAATAATAGTAATAATTTGGGCTAATGACAGCTGGATGAAAATGCTTAAAGTAGCAATATTGATTATGACACCTTGTATTCATAAACTATTTTGTTGAATCACAACTGCTTGGTCCAACTAGTAAAAGATAATAATAATTAAAAAAACTAGTCTAAAGACATGGCTCAAGTGGTAAAGAGCCAGTCAAGCAAATAAGCCTAGTAAACATGGGTTCATGAGTTCAAATCCTAGTACTAGATATGAAATGAAATCAAGAAGTATTTCATATTTACTGCTTCCAAATAGAGATAGTCTGAAGTGATGACATAACAATCCTACATTTTTGATATTATATGATAATATCATATATGATAATATATGATACATTATATCTTGAGTATATTTACTAAAATAAATTTCTCAAAGTATATGCACATACAAGACTATATTAGTAAGCTGAGTTACATATTTGTAACTGTGTTAAAATACATACATTTTGCAAACAAACTAAGTATGGAATAAGATAAATAATACACAATGCACAACTTAAGCATTTAGTATTGAGACAGTGCAATCTGTACAAGTAAAGATGGCATCATCAGAATGAAGCCAGTGGCTGTCTGCATATGTGAAATCCCCCATCAGTTTCCACTGCTAAAAAATCCAACATTACATGCTTCAAAATGATTGGCAGGTGAAGTTTCCAGGGCCTCTAGTTACTCAAGAAGATTCATTCTGAAAATGAATTAAGGATGAATAAGAAAAAAATATCATGAGTAAAGCAGATATTTGAAATGGAAGTAGTATAAACTGAAGTCTCCAAGTAAAGTTAGCTAACATAGTTTATCAGCAGCCACATTGTCATTATTAAGAATATCTCCATCACTGAGTTTCTTGGTTTTGGGCCCTAATCTGTGCTTGTTGGCTTAATTCCCCAGACAGACTGTGGCGGAAAGGAGTGATGGACCTCTACAACCTTACAACGGTGACTCAGTTTATTCTCATTGGACTCTCTGACCTTCCTGAAGTGCGGTACCCGCTCTTTGTGGCATTTCTAGTCATCTATCAGATCACCTTGGTGGGTAACGGGGCCATTCTCCTGGCCATTACTATAGAGCCAAAGCTTCACACTCCCATGTACTTCCTTTTGGCAAATCTGTCCCTGTTAGACATATTTTGTCCTTCAGCTACAGTTCCCAAGATGCTCCGGAACCTTTTGACAGAGGACCACAGCATTTCTTTTGTTGGGTGTGCTTTACAGCTTTATTTCCTGGTGGCCCTAGCTGGGACTGAGGTCTTCCTGCTTGCTGTCATGGCTTATGACCGGTATGTGGCGATATGTTTTCCCCTTCGCTACACCCTCATCATGACCCAGGTTCGATGTGTGCAGTTGCTGACTGGGACCTGGACAGCTGGTTTCCTCAACTCCCTTCTCCACACAATGACCACCTTCAGCCTGTCTTTCTGCAAGTCGAATCGAGTTGACCAGTACTACTGTGATATTCCGCCAGTGGTGGCCCTGTCTTGTTCTTCCACTTACATGGCAGAAATGCTTGTTTTAGTGGTAGGTGGCATCTTGGGTATTAGTGCCTTCCTGGTCACCTTGATCTCTTATACTTACATCATCTCCACCATCCTGAAGATCCGGTCAGCCGAAGGGAAGCGCAAAGCGTTCTCCACGTGTGCCTCCCACCTCACTGTGGTTTGCTTATTCTATGGGACAACCATCTTTACCTACATCCGCCCCTCCTCCAGTAAACATTCTCCTGCCAGAGACAGACTCGTTTCCATGTTATATGGGGTAATTACTCCAATGTTAAACCCCATCATCTACAGCCTGAGAAACACAGAAGTCAAAGGAGCTCTCAGAAGACTTCTTTTCAGTAAAAGATTTGCAGCCCCAACATAATCTTAAAATAGTATGTAGTTTTGTGCATTTCAAGAAATGAATTTGTAGAAACACAATTTTATCTTCACATATAGAACAAAATATGTAGCTAATAGAAATATAAATACACTTGAAACTGTAGGTTTGGATACCTCATGCATCTTTTTATCTTTGGCCACTGGGGATTAACAACTCTCTTTCACAAAGTAATTATTTTGAGATTTATCCACTTTAACAATACATAATGTCACTTTTTATTAGTAATGAACTTAGCTGTATCGAAATCATACATACACATATGTGTATGTGTACATGTAACCGGATTACTCCTATGTTCTTGTTTCTATTTCTAATCTACATCTAATCACCTCTCTACTGATTTTAATTATTCATCTTTACAGTTTGTAAATTGTTAATTGAGAAATTGTCATCTTAAATATGCATTTTATGCAATTCAATACCATGGCCTATAAATACACTATGTAGTAATGTGAATTGGTGAATTGGTATATTTTAACCTCAATTCTTGTTTTCATATCTATGTGTGCTAATATTGCTTATAGTATACTTTATCTACAAACTTAAGGTATACAATACATTTTTACTATATGTTTCATGTCGTGCAAAATATTTTATAGCTGAAAAATCAAATTCAATGACTAATTGAATGTTTGTTCTCTCAATCATCCTCCCCCCTTTGTTTAAATACTCCTAATTCCTAGTAACTAACACCCTTTTAACTTTCAAATGTGGTCTTAAGTTTTGTACTTGGCTTTTCTCACTTATGATGATAATCGACTATTTCATCCACATTCTCTCAAAGACAGTATTTTATTTTTAGCACTATCTATCTATCTATCTATCTAATCCATTTTAAACTTATGTAAATTACTCTCATCCATTAATCTGTAAAACACATAGTTTGATTAAATCACTTGACTCTTGTGAATTATGCAAGAATTTCAGGGAAGAAGCATATTTTTCTTGTGAAATCTAGAAGCAGGATTATTTGATCATGATAATTTTTCTAAAAACTGTTGCAGATTTTTAATTAACTAGAACAAACATTTTGGATGCTTAGAGCACAAAAATGATAACTATTTGAGATAATTCTATTTCTAGATTTCAAAATTTGTTCTTTTATTGTTTTGTAATATTTTTACAGAGGAATCACCATTCAACAAAGCAATTTATGAATACAATGTGTCTTGGTCAATGTTGCATCTATGAACATGATCACCCCTCCCTTCTTTCCCCCTCTTTCCTCATTTTTCTTAATTTTGTAGGATATGCATTGAATACTTGACTGCAGTTTTAAGAACTTCAATACACATTTTAAAAATGAGCAATTTTATGTTTTCACCAAAATATACATATTTTCTCTTTTCTGCACAACCCTAACAATAGTTATAATTCATCTTTATATTCATTGACAATCATTATACATGGGTTCTACTTTTGATAACTGCTATTATTATACATATAAGGTGATGTCTCATTGTGGTTTTAATTATGTTTTTCCTAAAGACTAAAGACATTGAATTCTTTGCTCATTTATGTTGGCCATTTTTTGTGTGTCTTTTTGAAAATGAAATGTTTATTAAACTGGAGTGAGGTGGTAACTCAATGTTGTTTTGATTTGCATTTCTTTTATGGCTAGGGAGGTTGAGCATTTCTTCATGTGTCTATTGGCAATCCTTCTTTTCTCTTCAGAGAAGTTGCTCTTTAGGTCTTCAGCCCACTTGCTTATTGGGCAGTTGTTTCTTTGAACATTTCTTGTTGGGGGATTTAATTTTTTGAGTTCCAGGTATATTTTAGATATGAAACCTTTGTCCATTGTATGGCTGGTGACTATCTTCTCCCATCCATGGGCTTTCTATTGATCTTGCTAGCTATATCCTTTGCCATACAGAAGCTCTGCAACTTCATGCAATCCTATTTGTCCAACCTTTCTTTGATTTGTTGTGTTTCTGGGTCTCTATTAAGAAAATTTCTGCCTGTGCCCAGGAGACCTAGTGTTTCTCCTATTCCATCCTGTAATGTTTTCAGAGTGTCTGCTTTGTCTCCCAGGTCTTTTATCCATTTGGAGTTGCTTCTGGTAGAAGGGGATATATAAGGATCTAGCTTTAGTTTTCTGTAAGTGATTAACCAATTTTGCCAGCACCATTTACTGATACCACCTGTTCCCAGTTAGAATGGCTATAATCAAGAACTGTAATAACAACAGATGCTGGAGGGCATGTGGACAGAAGGGAACCTTACTTCATTGTTGGTGGGAGTGTAAACTTGTTCAACCACTTTGGAAAACACTATGGAGTTCCTCAAAAGACTTCACATAGAGCTCCCTGATGACCCAGAAATCCCACTTTTGGGCATTTACCCAAATGATCACAAACAAGACTATCCTAAAGCTACCAGCATGATTATGTTTACTGCAGCATTATTTACCATAGCTAAGATATGGAACCTACCCTGATGCCCCTTAGTAGATGAATGGATCAAGAAAATGGAATTCTATGCCTCCATCAGAAAGAATGACATTGCCCCATTTGTAAGGAAATGGAAAGACTTGGAAAAAATTATATTAAGTGAAGTAAGCCAGGCCCAAAGAAACATGAGTTCCATGGTTTCCCTTATTTGCAATAACTAGTATATGTTTGAGACAAACAGAAACTGTCAGACAAGTTGATGTTAGGTGAAATGAACCCCAAGATAAGGATTCAAATGTTTTTGTCTTTATTGTGATTGTTTCCAACATGTTTATAATATGATTTCTTTGTTGCTTTGCTTTGTATGTACTTCCCCCATGGTATAAGCCCTGCTTTCACTGTATTTGATGTTGATATAATTTGTGGAGGGAAAGGGAAAAATCAAATTGCTTAACTAGGGATACAGGTGAACCCATTGCAACAATGAGATGTACCAGACGTTATGTCAAAAAACGAACTTTATAAATTTGTTGAGGTTGTGGGTGAGGGGTGGAGGGAGGTGGTAGTAGGGGGTTGTAGGGGTGGGGGGGCAGAGAGCGGAAGGGATGGTATGGGGAAACAAAGGAGGAGGCAACAATTCTTGCTAAGACATGTACTCACTATCTTGCCCATGTAATTGTATCCCCTCTTTATGGTATTTTCACAATTTAAAAAAATTAAAAAAAGAAATGTTTATTCAAGTACTTTGTGAATTGGATTATATTTGTCTTTCAATAGTAGTGTTTTATACTTTTATATGAATTTCTTTATAACTAGATATAAATATATCTTGCAAATATTTTCTTCCATTCTATAGATTGTCTGTTCATTGTGTTGGTACTTTGCTGTGCAGAAATTTTTATGTTCTTGCAATCCCATTTGTTCACTTTTGTGTCTCTTTTTCAAAATGAAATCTGGAAAAAAAATTGAACAGAACAATGTCTCTCAGGTTTCCTCTTATGATTTATATTTTTGTCATTTATATTGAAGTTAATTCATCTTGAGTTGGTATGAGATAGGAATAGAGTCTCATATTTCTGTATATGGACAGTCAGCCTTTTGAGCACCATTTGATACAGAGGCAATTGGCTTTCTATTTTTTGTCTTTTTTCTGATTAATTATAGATTTAAGACTCATAGTTTTTGCCTAGGCCATCTTAAAATTTTGTGATCCTTAGCTCTCTTTCTCTTGAGTAGCTAGTGTTATAGGCTCTGCCATTGCAATAACAATTTACTTATACTTACCATTCATATATCTGACTTGTATTTCTGTATTGGGGTAAAATTGTTCATCTCTAGTATGGTTATCTTTCTTAATTATTCTAGATATGGTGTGCTATTTCTTATTCTTTCAGTTTCACACATGTAAACATTATTATTAGTAATAGAATAAGTTATTCTTGACAGCTAGTACTTTATCTTAAAGAATTCTCTAAGCATTCTTTTAAAGCAGGCTTTGTGGTGCTATACTTCTGGGAAAGTGCATGTATTTTCTTTTACCTGAAAGAGAGCTTTGCTAGACAATTTTCTCTTGACCTTGCTTGTGAACAACTACATAGATGCATGTAGGTCATTTTCAATTTGGAGGCTGTTACTGAGGTGTTCTCTTTTTTTGTTGCTATTTTTTTTTATTGTGAGAATACAGAGGAGTTACAATTACATGGGCAAGATAACGAGTACATTTCTTATCAAGCATTGTTGCCTTCTCTTTGTTTCCCCTTCCCATCCCTTCCCATACTCCCCTTCTCCCCCCACCCGATCCCCCCCCACCAAAGTTGTAAAGTTCGTTTTTCGACATAATGATTTGTACATCTCATTGTTGCAATGGGTCCACCGGTATCCCTAGTTAAACGATTTGTTTTTTCCCTTCCCCTCCACAAATTATACCAACATCAAAAACAGTGAAAGCATGGGTTATACAGTGTTTTTTTTTTATAAAATATGTTTTTATTGAAAAGTTGATCACCAAGGGGTTATAGTTATATAACTACAGAAATGAGTGCATTTGTTTTTAGTCATTTGTTTTTAATCCCTCATTATCTCCCACTATCCCTTCCCTATGTTGTACTGTTCTTATCCCACCTAATGTCAAGTGAACATCAATGTTGCATTGGTTCATCCCATTTTCCTGCTGTTGCTGTGTTCCCTTTCCCTTCCACACATAGAACAGTGTTACATATAAAACACATGGTACTGAAAACAAAGAGAAACAAGAAGAAGAAAAGGAAAATAGAAGAAAAAAACTAAATACAGGGCACTGTAACAGCCTCTTATTTCCATATATTGGGGTTCATGTTGATATGATTCATTTTTATGGTCATATATACAAAGCAACTGGGAAAGAAAGCATACACATACACTAGTTCTTACAAATGAGGGATATCATGTATCCTATTTTGCTTTATGTCTGACTTACTTCATTTATTATAATTTTTCCAAGCACTTGCAATTCCTTACAAAAGGGAAGGTAACACACATTTTACCAGAAGCACAGGTATATATATATATAATTACATCTTCTTTATCCATTCACCTACTGAGGGGCATCTGGAT